AAACTTAAAATATTGCTTTTAAAAATAATTTTAAATTTAACATAATTTTTTAGAAAATTATTTTTAAAAAATATAATTTTTAAAAAATATAATTTTCTAATATTATTAGACAAATAAATAAATTATATTAAATTAGTTTAGAAACTTTATATATTTTAATTGCAAATATTTTACCAATTGCTTCTTTAAAAACATTAGGAAACTTGCTATACTCTACCAATCAAGCCCAGTGACACTCCATTTATTTTCCATCACTCGAACATTGAAAAGTAAAAAGATATATGAAATCAGATCCATTAAATTCTAAGATTTGATTTATATTTCTAATTAAAGTTGTTTTTGATCATACGTATAGATAATTATATAAAAATTCCAAAATTCTAAAATTTCAAATACATACAAAAACAATCATATGTAAATTTTAAATTTGTGAATATTAAAATTTTATATTTTAATTACATATATTCACCCTGCGCAAGGCGCAGGTCTTATCCTAGTTTATTTATTAAGGGTTGTAATTAGTCTTTAGTCAAAATTATAAGAACATGACAAATAAGTAAAATTATCTAAGCTTATGGAAAAGATGACAAATCAACAAATTTAATTTTCAAAATAATAGTTTAATTTATCGTTACTTATATATTAATTCAATTTTAGTTTATGGTTAATTAAAACTAATTTTATATATTGATAATCATCAAATAAAAAAAAATTGTTTCTAATTATGAGTAAAGGAGTTCAATATTCATGGAATAAGAGACACTAATTCTTCATTCTCTCTTCTTTTTATAACATGTTATTATCAATATGAAATCCTTACTGTTGAATGATACCCTAGAAAACAACGATGTTTTATTCTAACTAGATTTTGACCCGCGCTTGAAAGCGCGGAAATTTTTTATAACTAAAATTTATATAATTGGATTATGTCTTAATTTAAAGAATGTTTTGGTATAAAATCAGCTTATCAAAATTTGTGGTGACGATTTTTTTGATTAGTTTTTAGTTTCAGTTTCTATTTTTAGATTTTGGTTTTTAGTTTTTAAGTTTCTATTTTTGATTTTCAGCTTTTGTTCGGGTTTTTAATTTTTAGATCCGCTGGATTAGTTTGAACTGATATTACCAACAAACAAATTTCAAATAATCGAACATCTAATTTAAAACTGAAAAGATGACAAATTTTTTTTAAAAAAAAATTGCAATAGTTTATTTTGTAAATAAACAAAAGCAAAAACTATAACAATATGTTATCCAGAACAATGCGTTTTCAGCTTTTGGTTTTGAGTTTTAGTTTTTAGAATTAGTTTTTGGTTTTGCTTTTCATTTTTTTTTTAAATCAGTAAATTATTTAAGAAAAATAAAAAATAAATTATTTAAAAGTTACCATTGAAATTTATCAAAAAAGTGATTGTTATTTAAAATAAAAAATACAATAACATGTTATAAAGTACATGATTTAAATAAATGATTAATAATAGACAATTTTGTTTTGTTAAAAATATTAAATACATTTGGGCCTGAAAATAATAATTGATTTTTTGATCCATTAAGATAGAAAAAATGGAAGATCAAACCATATAATTTGTCCTAAAAACAAAAGTAAGCCCAAGACTATATCCCATAAATAACGATCGGTTTAATTTAAGTAATGCTGTTCAGTTAACTATATGGCTTGTTGTAACACCCTAGAAAGAGTCCAAATTTAAATGACAATTTGTATTAACAGATAAAAAGAAAGACTATTTTAATAGAGTAGATTTCCACTGGTTTCATATAATTATTAAATTTCTATTTTTTAAGGAATTGTTAAGATGCTAAATGGTATATTACGATTTCCACATTAATATAATTAGTAGATTTTCATATTCCATATTTTGATAATATATATTATTTCAGAACATTCCATATTTGTAGGAGAAAATATGTGTTTTTGGTAGACATATATATATATATATATATATATATATATATATATATATATATATATATATATATATATATATATATATATATATATATATATATATCTCCCGTATTTTGAAGATACTTTACATTAATGTCGTCATGTTACATTAATTGTGTTGGTTTAATTTAAGTAATGCGGTTCAATCAATTATAAGACTTATAATATTTGTAACACTCTAGAAATGATCCAAATTTAAATGACAACTTGAATCAGTAGATAAAAAGAATGTATCTATTTTAATAGATTAGATGATCACATTATATAGAGATTATAATAGCTTGGGTACAAAGTTTAATTTGGATTAAAGAACAAGTATATTTAGACTTTCCATATGGAAATCACCACAATATTCATAACAATATTTAATTTATGGTTAATTATATATTAATAAGTTTCATTATTCAATAAAGGTAGTAATTATTTGAGTCAAAATCATAGAAACAACAAATAAATAAGTTATTTAAATTTACAGAGAAGATGACAAATCATCAGATTTACTTATCAATTAAGTAAATTTATTTCTCAAATAATAATATATATATGACGAACAATCAAACCTTCTCTAATTATTTTTGCTTTCTCTTCTGGAAAGTAAAGATAGTACAGCCGACCCTCTCTCTCTGTTGTTCTCTGGAAAAGTAAAAAAAAAAACTTAAAACATGACGAAACCAGATATATTAGAAGATACGCTCACAGAAATGTATCCTGATTTAACACCAGAAGAGATAGCACAGCGGAGAAAAGACATAGAACCATTCGTCTACGTCTTGTGTGTTGGCCTAAGTTTCGTCATCGTCTACTTAATCAGTTCAACTTTATCATCAGGACCAGCCATCCAGCCTCATCGCGATATCAAGATCATTTCTATGGATTTCACGGCTGAGCCTAATAATAATAATAGCACACAACAAGGTCATTATCTCCCTCTCGTTAGTGCTAGATGGGATTTATTGATAAGACTCCCTGGAGAACTTGTTGGTAATGATATATGTCTTCAAGGAAACCTCCAAGCTTCTTTCCTTTACAAGAATGTCACTCTTGTTACTTCCTCTATTCATAGGTTATACTAATTATAATGATTTTCTTCTTGTTTGAAACCGTGTTAATATTATTAGGTTTTTTACTAACTTTCGTATCCTATGTATGGTTTGGTAGTTACAACGACCTCGAACGAGACACGCCTCAGCTTCTTAGCGTGTCAGCGGTTGCTACTGGAGAAGATTTGAGCGGCGCGGTTGGGAAAGAGATTATGGAGGCTATCAAAGAGAGGAATGAATTGCAGTTTGGATCACGGTTGTCTCTTACGGATTGTAGAGAGGAGACAAAGAAAGGAACGGTGAGCTATGAATGCGATGAAGCCAAGTTGCGGTTTGAGCTAGGTTCTGATCAGATTAAGGCAACTGCGTTTGGAGACCACCCTAATTGCATCATTAAAGAATAGTATCAAGCATACATTCATATCATTTCAAACTAAATATATAATAAATAAAATTTAATACTCTTTTAAAATTTAGACCATTAATGTATCTACGATCGGATATACACAATAGCACCAAAGATGCGTTTATATTGTACCCGACCGTCACTCCTCATCCAAGACTTAATTTTTAATTCATCTTTTTAATGGTATAAAAGAAAACAATTTGCATAAATTTATTTGTTGATTGTATTCAAACTCAAATAACTGTACTATCATGGATCTGTCATGTAAATCTTGAGAAAGCTACGTAGTTGGTCTTACAAAGCGTAACCATGCACGTTCTTTTCGTTTGATTATATCCATACGTTCTTTCTTTTTGTTAGATTATATTATTTCCATTTTTTTTTAACTTCAGTACTAAAGAAATATTTAGAGTTCATTTCCTCAATAATATCTGTTTTGATCAAAACTATTATCAACAGACAATGGTTGTATACTTTGTGTCTGACAATGCTAGCAAATGTTCGACACGTATTCTTTGACTTAGAAAATCTACATTCATATCATTTACAATTACAAACTACATATACTAAAGTAAAATTTTAAATATTTGTATATAATCCTCAAACTAGTAGATCTATTGATCTTTATTGCAAATCTTGAATTCTCCCATTGGTAGATTGCCTATTCAAACTAAATATTGTTATTCTTATTGGGATATTGATTTTTATCTTTACTGGAATATTGACTATTGACTTGTTTTCTTTTATCAAATATGTTCCTCTTTTAAATACCCAAAACGGAAACAAATCTTTCATTTATATTGGAGCATGTACTAACAAATCAAATATACATAATATACAGTCATGATTCATGTGTATATAACCATATACCAAAAACCTCTTCACCATCTTTTTACTCTGTGTATCGGAAAGAAGAAAACATAAAAGATGGATTGTTTGCTTTGCTCACCAATTTTATATGTAGTTCTTATATTTCTTTTGTGTTTAGTTAGAGTTTTGTTACCTCGTAGAAATCCATTTCCACCTGGCCCAAAAGGCTATCCAATAATCGGTAACATGAAACTAAAGAATCAGTTGAATCATCGTGGTTTGGCAGAGTTAGCCAAACAATACGGTGGTCTCTTTCACCTTCAGATGGGTAGAATTCATATTGTTGCTGCTTCAACAGCTGAGATGGCCCGTGAAATTCTTCAGGTATGCGATTTTCTACGGTTTATAGTTTTTGTAAAACAGTGAATCTATAGTTTTTGTAAGACAACATTATTCTCAAACAGTAAATTACATTAGGTTCATGATGTGGTTTTCGCAAACCGGCCAGCTAACGTGGCGATTTCATATCTCACTTACAACCGGGCAGATATGGCGTTTGCGAATTACGGTCCACTCTGGCGTCAAATGAGAAAGGTTTGCGTTATGAAGCTTTTCAGCAGAAAACGGGCCGAATCATGGGCCTCGGTTCGCGACGAAATTAATACGATGGTTCAAACTCTAACTAAACAAACCGGTTCACCGGTTAACGTTGGCGAGCTTGTATTCGCTTTGACGCGGAACATAACGTACCGAGCCGCGTTTGGCTCCTTCGCTCGCGACGATCAAGACGAATTCGTCAAGATTCTACAAGAGTTCTCAAAACTCTTTGGAGCGTTTGATATCACTGAGTTTTTACCGTGGATGAAATGGTTTAGTAACCGCGATTTCACCAAGCGGTTGGAAAACGCTAGAGAATCGCTGGATGGGTTCATTGATAGAATCATCGATGCACATATCGAAAAGAAGAATTCAAGAAAACAAGACGATGACGGCTTGGAGGATGACATGGTTGACGAATTAATGGCGTTTTACAGCGGTGAGAATGGCGCCAAATCTACTGATTCATTTAAACTCACAAGAGATAACATCAAAGCCCTTGTCATGGTAATTAATTTAAATTAATCATTCAAATACCATAAGTTTTTTTTTTTCAAATACCATAAGTTAAAATGATATATTACTCCATCCGTTACATATTAATTGTCGTTTTATAGAATTTTTTTGTTACAAATTAAATATTGTTTTTGTTTTTAAAGCAAAATTTATTCTATAATTTATTTTTCTATTGGTTGAAATAAAATTAGCTGTATAGGTAATTGTGTTTTTATCTGAAAAATATACAAAATTTATAGTTTTTTTAATTTGTGTGTCGCAATCTAAAACGACAATTATTATAAAACAGAGTGAGTATTAATTAAATAATTTTAATTTAGGATGTGATGTTTGGCGGGACGGAAACGGTAGCGTCCGCGATTGAGTGGGCCATGACGGAGCTAATGAACAACCCTAACGAACTCTTGAAGCTACAACAAGATGTTGGCTGTAGCTAATGAACAACCCTAACGGACTTTCGCTTTAGGTTGTTGCTTTAGGATGTTGGCTGTAGAGATTTTTGACTGTTAAAACTGTCAGTATTATTTTAATTATTTAAAATGTCAAGAATAATAATTAAAATCATAAAAATAATAAATAATATTCTAAAATTTTCATTATAAATATAAAATTGTGACAATAATAAAGAAAAAAAAATATATGAAATCAAAAGTTATATAATATGGATATCAAAATAACAAGAAAAAAATAACAATGATTAATTTATCAAATAAAATTTATAAGAAAATTAATATAAAGCAGAATAAGTATTTTAGTTTTTGTGGGGTGGGATGGAAAACTATTTTTACAATAAAGATAAAAGAAAAAATTGATTTTTGCTTGTAAAGNAAAAAAAATATATGAAATCAAAAGTTATATAATATGGATATCAAAATAACAAGAAAAAAATAACAATGATTAATTTATCAAATAAAATTTATAAGAAAATTAATATAAAGCAGAATAAGTATTTTAGTTTTTGTGGGGTGGGATGGAAAACTATTTTTACAATAAAGATAAAAGAAAAAATTGATTTTTGCTTGTAAAGTCACGTGAAAGAAGCTGTAGACTTTTCTTTGAAAAAGAAGAAAGAGAAATGGATAATGGCTTTGAGAACTTTAGAATCCCTAAAATTAGAAAAAGCCTGATTGGTAAAAAATAGACTTTAAGAACTTTAGAATTAAGTCAAAGCCTCTAAAGCCTAACGCCAATCGGACTCAGATCTCGAGAATCTCCCTTACTTCCGATGCGCGATGAAGGAGACGCTGAGGCTGCACCCTCCGATCCCTCTCCTCCTCCACGAGGCGGCGGCGGACTCCGTCGTCTCCGGCTACTCCATCCCCCGCGACTCCCGCGTCATGATCAACGTGTACGCGATCGGGAGGGACGGATCGGTTTGGAGTGAACCGGATGCGTTTAAACCGGGTCGGTTTATGGAGAGCGAGGCTCCGGATTTCAGAGGGAGTGATTTCGAGTTTCTTCCGTTCGGGTCGGGTCGGAGATCGTGCCCGGGTATGCAGTTGGGGCTTTATGCTATGGAGCTTGCGGTTGCGAAGATGCTTCACTGTTTTGATTGGGAGTTACTGGAGGGAGTTGGCTCCGGTGAGTTGGATATGACTGATATGTTTGGTCTCACGGCGCCTAGAGCTACTAGGCTCATCGCCGTTCCGAGTTACCGGCTAAAATGTCCGATGGTTATTTGAAATGCGTGTCGTTTGCTTTTTTTTTTGAAAAAGGGCTTTTATGCGTGTCGTTTTGATAACGTTTTATATCAACTGTTTGCTGTTTTCGTGATTCCATTTACAATCTGTTGTTGTTTTTAATATTCTCAGTTCGGATTTTTTCTGTTTTACAAAAAATAACTTATCCGAGTTTTAAGAGCTTGTAAAAATGGAGGTGAACAAATCAAGTGTTAACGATGCAAGCATAAAATAGTCAAATCACCAATGATCGTAGAACCAAACTTGAGATAATAAGGTATAGTGATTATTTGGGGTTTCTTAATTTCTTTTAATCATCATTACTATTAATTTAAGGTCTTATTTTTTATCTACCATCCTAATGTTGTTTTTAAATTTTGGCCTCTCATTTTAAGTAGGACGCTACACATTAATTTTGAGATTCATTAGTTAGATATAATTAAGCTTTACACGTTACTTCAATAATATGTCTGGTTAACTTAAATTAAACCAAAACCTTATCTACAATAACCATCGGAAACTACTCTATTAAACCAGTTTGTTATCTATACTATTAAAAGTGAAGGCACCCTTGAAAAATCGACTGATAAAAGTTGAGTGCACCTTTCATTAATGTCATTTTAGTAATTTATGTTCGTCTTACATCTATATATATATATATATATATGGATTTGTTACAAATCATATCACATATTGCATATACCCGAATTATTCTCTCTCTTCCCATTAATTACTCTAACCATTAATTATTCTCTCTCTTTCCATTAATTACTCTAACCATATTTTATACTATATTTCATACATTTATTGATTTCCAACATTATATTACACGATTTGGTATATGCATCATACATGGATTTTATAACCACATTTCATACTATATTTCACACATTTATATTGTATTATACACCTTATATTACATGATTTTCAATCTATATATTTTCAGCATTATACTTTTATTGTTGACTTTTTGGTATATAAATCATATATGGACTTTATAATCATATTCCAAATTATATTTCATACATTTATATTATGTTATACACCTTATATTACACGATTTCAATCTATATATTTTCAAAATTATACTTTTTTGGTATATGCATCATATATGGACTTCATAAACCTTCATTTCATTTATATTGTGTTATAGACCTTCATTTCATGATTTATCTTCATATATGAAATATGTTTCATTTCTCACTAAATTTACCCATATTTATATACCATACTATATTTCATACATTTATATTGTGTTATAGATCTTATATTACACGATTTCAATCTATAGATTTCCAACATTATATTTTTTTGGTTGACATTTTCTGGTATATGCATTATATATGGACATTATAAACTTTCATTCCATTTATATTGTGTTATAGACTTTCATTTCATGTTTTTCTTCATATATGAAATATGTTTTCATGTCTCACTAAATTTATCTGCATTTATATGTCATAGTTAGACGACATATAGTGATATCAACCAAAAAAGATATATCATCACTCCCATGTTGACATTTAATGGACGAGATGCGTTTTGTTAAGAAAATATTGCAAATACGGTTTTCTATAATTATCTTCTTACTAAAATAAAGAAATTACTTTACCTACAAGTTATAGATTAACCACAATCAATAACGTAGATTCCATAAATTTTGGTAACTTGCCGTAGTTGGATTACCATTAATTGTTAAACTTTAAACTTCATAACTATTCAAAATCTTCAAGAAATATTTCTTATTCCTCGAAAGAGATATTTTTAAAAATCGTATAAAAGATTCTCCCCTATATTCGCGTAGCCTAATTGTATATCGTCCCTACCTATTATAAATATAGCCTCTCTTAACATTTATATTTTTCATCCCTTCAAAACCCTAAAACAAAAATGACGAATAATTTACAGTTGTCTTTCTTGAGCGATATAAAACCGAGGAAGACTGTTGTCACATCCAAGTCAAAATCCTTCATACATGGAGACATTTCATGAAAGACTAAGAGAGTCCATGGAACTAATCTTTTGTGATGCAAATGTAAATTTATCGTTTTGTGTAGATTTTTGATTTAGATATCTTCATTTCGTTAATGTTTAACCTAAATGATAATGTTTTATGTTTATATAGGGAATTAAAATCCATGCNTGTTGTCACATCCAAGTCAAAATCCTTCATACATGGAGACATTTCATGAAAGACTAAGAGAGTCCATGGAACTAATCTTTTGTGATGCAAATGTAAATTTATCGTTTTGTGTAGATTTTTGATTTAGATATCTTCATTTCGTTAATGTTTAACCTAAATGATAATGTTTTATGTTTATATAGGGAATTAAAATCCATGCATCATGTAACCAGACATACATTCCTCGATTGACAAAAGAAATTACTCAAATGCTTATGATTTATTTTTGGTTATAAGTGAGGTCGAAATCTCAAATGGTTACAACGTAAGTCAGATGTTTGTTAATCCTGAAATACCAGAGACAAATGAATTTAAACAACATTATTTATCTTTTTCAATGTTTTTACTTTATAATAGTATAGACTAATTATAAAACTTACTTATAATCGCAGAGATAATGATGATTCTCGAGCGTTAACCCTGGCTGAATCAAAATCGCAGAGGTAATGTTGATTCTCCATCGATCCGTTTTAGGATTATGTTTGTTTAGAAATAATGTTTTTAGTTATGTTTTGACAATTGTGTAATGATGATTCTCGAGCGTTAATCCTGGCTGAATCAAAATCGCAATTTGTTTTCACCCAATAATTTTCATTTTAAATAATATTTGCCTTTTCTTGACGATTTATTGACTGATTTATTTATATGAAAAATACATAGTGTTGTATAAAACAGATCAATATACTATGATATAATAACGAAAATTGATTTATACTATATTTGCTACATATTGAAACAGAAAATGAGATACTTGGAGTAACAAATCTCATTTGTTACTCCAAAATCTTGCAATATTTAAATTATACCTTATATACTTGGAATTATCTTTGACTCTCATAAAAAAATATTTTTGAGTTACCTTTGACTCTCCTAAATTAATTTAATATTTTATTTTATGGTCAACAAAAAATACCTGCCCTTCTTAAGCGCGGGTCAAAATTGAATATTATTTTTATTGTTCAAAAATCATAGATGTAATTATTTTAACTAACATAAATAAACTATATAAGAAGCGTGGGTCAAAACTGAATATTATTTTTATTGTTCAAAAATCATAGATGTAATTATTTTAACTAACATAAATAAATTATATAAGAACGCGGGTCAAAATTGAATATTATTTTTATTATTCAAAAATCATAATTGTAACTATTTTAACTAACATAAATAAACTATATAATTCGATTAACATATTTATTGGATTTAACTACAAATTTGTAATACAATTTTGGGCATTTACAGTAGTATTATTTTTCAAATTTACTATAGGCGATGGACCCATCCAATTTTGGTTTCAATCTAATATGTGTTTTGATTCTTCATACTCTCACAATACTTAATTTTCTGATTCTTGGTTCAATCACAAACTGACTCGGTTATGCAAAACTTAATGAAAAGATCCTACTAAAACGTTAAATATACATCAAATTTCACATATAAAACTATCATATAATAAAAATAGAATCATTTGATACATTTTTTTACAACCAAAATAAAACTCGCGCTTCTTAAACGCGGATCAAAATCTAGTTAACTATTACAATTAAATACAGAAATTGTAATTGGACTTCATGTCACTACATATCATCGTCTTTGTTTTATTCCAAGCTCCATAGAGAAGAATAATGCAATAATCGATTTGGACATCATGTTAGTATAGAAGATTAAACCAATTACACTGATTGACGATCATGTTTATATACACTATCGTTTCTGCTTCATCTCAGGTCATTACCTGCCCACAGAAACAACTTAAATTATTTGATATTTTGTTCATCTTGAACGATACAAACATTACAACAAAATAAAAATTCTAATTATGAACAAAAAATTGTCTGCATAAAAGCTTGAATCATATAGTTATCGAATTCAGTGCATAAGTGACATTACGTATGATTTGTTTTTATAAATCTTTTAATGCCAGAGATTAAAAAGTGACATTACATATGATTTGTTTTTATCAATCCTTCAAAGCCAGAGATTAAAAAGAAAGACATCTGTTCACATCGATTTTTTTTATTTTTGTTATTTTAAATTCTATTAATTATCTACATATAAGCCAATAAAATAGAATATTAACCTCCTTAAGAATATATATGTTAACTACTTTCATTATTTATTTCTATAGTATAGTTAGGCTATATTAATCGAGGAATATTTTTTTTCTGGGTCAATTAATTAGAAATTGCACAGTTATTTTTTTTTAATTTTCTTAGCCAAAAAATTTAGGAAAGAATTTTCGATCTTTTAAGAATTCAGTTAATAGCCTAATTTGCAAGAACCAAAAATATTAACCCAACTCTAAATTTTGTTTACGTTTAATAAGTATCATTGTTTTTTTATAAAATAAATATTTATCCTTTTTTCATATTTGCATTCCAAAAATCTTAATTTTTATAAACACAATATTTTAGTATTTCAAAACTGCTTAATTTCAAAATTATAAATTTATGTGTTTGAAAATGTATTAAGTTCATATGTATAACGAAACTATATACAGTATTTTCAAACTGAAAGTTTACAATACTTATTTTCCATATTATAATTTATATTACCGAAATATTTTATCTTTTTTAATTTAAGTTTATATATATAATTTCAAAAAACAAAAATAATGATAACTTTTATATATTCAAGTATGATTCAAAATTCATGTACATAATATAATTTCTTCAAAAAATATAAAACTGTACATCAAAGTTTATAAAAAAGTATCATCAATTCATAAAATGTTGAAAACATAATGCATTAAAATAAGTACTAATCATCCCGCACACAGTGCGGGTTCAGAATCTAGTTTTAATTAAGTTATTGTTCAGTA